GACAGAGCTCTTCTAACTTTCTAATCAGAATTAAAAGATACGACGCAAGTTGTACGCGGTTTCTAGTATGTAATCGTTTCGCATTGTTATTCATACGAACAGAGGGACAAAGAAGAAACGTTGGCGGCCATATCGGTATCGGAGAGTACCACGAATCCTTATAAAGGTCCGCTATATTTCTTTCCCGACCGCGGTATTCAGAGCGGGCGGAGTCGGGAAATAGGATCGGCCAAATCGCGGATTCCGTCGATAGGGGATCGCCAAGGGAGAATAGCGTTGGGTCACGTTACCGTTGTGGTCGGGGATCGGTGGTCGGTCGGTCCCTTCGGCAACCTCAGCAACGACGGCATCCGCACGGTAGGTAGCACGCTAGCACGCTAGCAGCCACGCCAACAGGGTCGTGAGTCGAAACACGAATAGCGAGAGAGCCGACGACGAAGATACCAAGGGTCCGATCCGGTGGGTGACCAGGAAGTCGTAAGAAGGAAATCGAGACATTCGATATCGAGTTATATGAAGATCGTCACGAACGCCCCGCGGCGCTTAATAGCCCAGATTCATTTGCGTGTAACAGGGCATAGGAAAAAAATCCTTAATGAATTGAAAGAAAACGAGACACTTGATAAACGCGTCGGTCGCGTACTTTGTTGTGAATTTTTTTTGATGAAGACGACGCAGTCAAAAGAATATAATAGGCTAGTAATAATCCTACGCGATTAATTACGCGAGTTGAATGCACCCATGGGTTAACGCGCGCGAAGATGAAGATGCAGCGTGTAATAGTTCGCGATAAAATCAGGATTTAGAGCTCGATTGGTATAAACGTCGGAGATCCGTTCACACATCGTTCGAAACCGCGATTCCTCGGATATAGTTAAGATATCGAGGTATGGCGGCGTTGTAAAGTACAGCGCGGGAAATCGCTGATTCTTACATTGGTTCAGCGAGTATAAAGTTTTTTCAAAGAATATATATATATATATATATAATCTTCGTGACTGCAGATTAGTATGTTAAAAATGTCATCTCACCATTAAGAATATAAAATGTTCATTTCTCTCGCATATACACATAAATCACATTTACTCTTGTCGGAAATTTCAAAGGGACATAATGATTGATTTAATTGCTTTATTATTTCCCTTGAGGTTACAAAAAATTTATGTCTTGTCTTATTCTATATCTAAAAATTTTAGATCTTAGTTCTAAACGCTACATGCATTTCTTTCCAGTCAAAGGATATAAAAATGTTGACTATATCCTACTGTGGGACAATGCGATAATAAAGTTCGAACTATTACATTTCTGTTTCTTAACATGAATTGTTAACTTATAAGTCTCTCTTAATTTTGGGATAATTTATTAGGCCAGTCCCGAAATTACTGCCATATCGGGTCGACCTGCAGCAGGGTAGAAGCAAGCCTCATACTCCCGCCTTGTTTCAAAAATCAGATTAATATTCTGAGTCCCCTATGGGGACTGTATCAGATATTAAGCTGATAAGAACAGATACTACACATTTGATCTTAGCTCAAAGAGCCGAGAAGCGATGCCCAATGATATCTTTTCACTCTTTATATAGCATTCTGAGACAAATTCTGTATACGAGAAAATCCGCCGCGTAGTGGCAGATAAAGCAAGCTAGTTTCGACCCTCTACTCTTGCTCCATTATACGTGTCAATTTTTTCATTCTTAAGTTAGGTTAGGTTAAAACACGTGGTTAGAGTTAGTGCTATGTCACAAGACTTATATATTGTATTGAAACGATAATATATTTTATATCTAAAAAATATTTAATTCTCTGTAAAAATATGACACTGTAAGCAACAACTTCCAAATATTAATTTATCCTTATAAGTATTCCAAATTTTCTATTATTACCTTAATATGTTTAATTGATGATTGATTAATTGATGATTGAGTAATTTTTTTACTTATACCTTTTTTTAATTACTCTTTTTTTGTATGTTTATTATCGTTCCCATCTTTATATTTTTTTTCGGTAGATATATTTAGAAGTTATATAAGTGGTTATATATATAAAACATACAATTAATCATTTTATCGGACTTTATAAACTTTATAATCGCTTCGTTTGATGGAAACTGGTCGAACCAGAAAGGTCCGAATCCGTAGGCGGTATTAACAGCTGCTTATAGAAGCCAGGAAGATGCGGTAGGTCAAGATATCATGCGGGTTCCAAGATATAAAACTACTATATACACTTTAAAAAATATTTAATGCTTAACAAGTTCCTCGAACATGTCGAGATCCTTTGATTGTAAAATAAGACGAAGACTTATTCTATTTGTTACAAAATATGTTTATTGCAAACAATTTAAAACATTTTCGATGATTCATCGACGGTAGTAGTATTCAACACATTAAAAAAATAATTTTTAAATAATTTTTACACTCATATATAAAGTAAAACTGCAACATCTAATAAACTGTCAACAATAATAGTCAACAGTTTTAAAATTCTCGAAACGGGGGGATCGTCGACGTGGATGTGATTTCATAAAAAAATACTCAAGTCTAGAGGTTAAACCTGTGTCTATTGATATGTTGAAGAAAAAAAATTCTATCGGTTCTTACAACACGCGTTACGGGAGGAAGAGATTACGAGTACCAGCTAGGAGAGTTCCGTGCTTTCTCTCATTCTCGTACTGTCTCAATCCTCTCGCGCAAGGTTTCGTGCCTCGCTCTTTCTTCTTCCTCTTTCTCCGCAAGATCTTCCCACGCACGTGCCGGAGTCCACGTAGCCGGCTGGTCCACGAGCCCCCTGGTGAATAATTACCAGATGAAGATACTGCCGCCTTGTGTAGACTGATATCTGTTCTTCCTTGGCGTCTCGTCCGATGATTTTGCAACGGTACTTATGCGTCTATTCCGGCGACGACGATGTTTTGTCTCTTCACGGACAAAAGCAACATGACGCTCTTGTCCGGGGGACTCGGTCGCGTCACGCCACAACTTGGAAATCGGTCCCCAGTATCACGCAAACCTGGATTTGTATTACGTATCACGTATTGAAATAGCATGTGGCGTTATCGATACATTCCCTCATCGCGTCATGTATGTATGAATGACAGCAATGTTTCCGTACTGTTGCGTCTTTCAAGGTTTTCTTCTCTGAAACCTTGTCGTTCACTTATGAATGACGCTATTTAGAAATTCAATAGGATTATGTATTATGATGAAAAAAGATAAATTACGAAAGAAACAGGGAAACAATTGTGAACGGAAACTTTTTAAAGGACTGTTTTTAATATTAGAAATATCAAGCAAGTTATTTTATTTTTTTTTAATTAATATTCTTTTGGTATCAAAGATAGAATTTTTTAACGTTTTAATTTTAATATTCTATCAGAATAAAGAGAATAATTAAAAAAAGTTAAAAAATTCCAAAATCATATCTTTAATATACGAAAATAGATATTAATTTAAGAAATAGAAATGATCGGTAACGTTCGGTATTTCTAAAATATCAGTGATTCTACAGAAAGAAATATATTTCATTACCTCTTCAGTATCATTACCTTTTCTTTTTCTTCTCTTTTTAATTACCATTAACACTATAAAAAATTTATATAAATAAAAATTTTCTTTGCTTAATAATCTTTCTTCTAGAAATGTTAACTTTGAGAAAAGCTTATTTTTGCAGCTTATTTTAACTCATTGATTATACGAAAGTTTTAAAGAGGCATAAAAATCCAAAGAGATGAGTATGAGATTAATTATCGTATTAGTATTTTTAATTTAATTTCTACACGGTTCTCATAGTTAAGCGATTTTATCTGAGATTTCTGCTTGTTGAATATTTTTCTACTTACACACAGTTCGATTGTGAAACAACGTTTTCACGTTTTCTGTGCCAATGCGTTCGCCTGCGGGACATCGTGCCCATCACTATAGTAGACAAGGAGGTTAATCGATATGGCCGGTATCGCATAACTGTGCATGCGGTCGGACGTAAACTTTACACGTTGTGTGCATTTGCATACAATCGTATAGCGTGTAAAGTTCTCGCTCTATAAACGTCGCGATTCTTTCGATGTGCGCCCATCAAATTTGCGGCCGTTGCCGAGTACGTAACGAATCCCGCAGAGTATTTCCGTCGTGTAATGTGCGGTGAAAGCCGGCAACTTTTATTAACCGCGAGATTTGCATGGAAAACAATGCGGGAGGGAGATACATGTGCGTTCATTTGCGTTCTCTGCTTTCTAGGTGGATGAAGAAATTTTTCTGGAGAGAAATTTGCAGATGATGTTTTTGAGATAAGCGTTTCGAGTCGCGTGTAAATTTGGACGCACGAAAGTGCGAAGGAGCATCCTCGGAGCGAGTTTCTTTAGAAACCTTCGAAAAGCAACGTTCGAGACAGTGCGATAAGCTTTTCGTGGTATATCTCGCTTGCAGCTCGTAGCAACGAAAGAGAAATCGTGACGAACCTCCGCTGCCGGCTGCTGCGCTTCTTCTTTCTTGTTTCCTCTCCGCCGACTTTATTTCTAATTAACGGCTGCCGCGTGCTAATTGTCCAGCTGACGTAGCGGGAGGCCTTAGAGATTCTTTAATGTGAATCGAACAGGTTCAACCTTGAGTCGTGCGAAATTGTTTTCTCCCGGTATAGGATGCGCATTTCTGCGTAAATTGCAAAGTGCACCGTGAAAAATCGTATTCACGTCTTCCCCAGCGCACGTCATAATCTTGCTTTTTGTAAAATAATTACGGTAATTGCGATAATTATTTATGATTATCGCAATTACCTCGTTATTTTATTTCAGCGTGATAAGATTTATTAGAAATCCATGAATATTGTATTAAATCTTCATGGAAACTATATATCGAATTTTTAATTATAGATTATAAGGTGTATGTATAATTACATTGTAATTTAAATATTTTCTCAATATATTTAAATTTTTATATTTAAATAGAGAACTTTATTGTTATTTTTTTCTAACAGTGTGATTTATTCAATGTGATTTATATGTTACAGAGATGGCAGAGGAGGTGGTTCGTTCTGTACGACGATGGGGAGTTGACGTACTCCGTAGACGAACATGTAAGTGAGATTTTTAATTTGATATTAGAAATGAATTTGTCGGATCAAATCCTTGATTGATTATTTATTTTCTCGTCACGCATATAAGAATTGCTTCGTTACAAGAAATCCATTAATTATATTTATATTTATTGTATTTATATTCCTCTTTTTCGTTACTTTTAGTGGTACAATTTGTACTTGACAAATTCTATTTTTAAATTCTTTTTTTAACTTATTACCTACATTATTGAAAAATTTGTATTAATTTAATATAATATAGCAAATGGCAGTTCTAATACTATGTTAATATATTTCTACAAAAAATAAATGTAATTTTCATTGTATAATTCGAATTTAATTACGTGTTAAAATTAATAAACAAAATAAATTGAGGGTAAAAATTACTTTTATTTTTCTACAGACGCACTCAAACTTTTGATTAAAATAATATGTAATACAATTTGTATGAAAAAAAATATAATTTTATATATATATAGTGTATATACTGTATACAAAGTGTATATTCACTTGACATATGGTATAAAGTAGCAGGTTGATTCTCGTATGAAAAATTGCAATTATTACGTTCATTAAAATGTTATTGTTGTGTATAAAAGAGAGATAGGATCGAGTAGCGGCGTTAGATCACGGATGACAGAACGGGAATAATATACGGGAAAATGTGGCGGACGTACGGAGTCGGTATATCGCGCGGACTGTTAGAATCCGCGCAAGATCTGAAAGGTGCTCTTTCTCGGATGCTGCATGGAGTGTACTGGGAGGTCGAAGTCGATTGTGTACACTTGTGCACGCATCTGCCGGTCACTACCTACGAGCATCACATCGGCAACGTCAGCGTAGCGGCGTCGCGTACAGAGAGAGAACATTCGTTGCTATAAATGACCCCCCCCCTCCCCCCCGACACCGGTACATCTCGAGTTTCCGCTTCCTGGTGTCGATGCGGACGCGGAAACTCTTTCAACCCGTCAGAATTGATTTACGTACGAACGGGCGCCAGAATAGAATTCATTACTGTCCCTCGAGAACGTCGTTCGCCGTCGACGGCAGCGTCTCAAAAGCGGGGTTCAGAGTTTGACGTGACCACGATTCCTCGATCGTCAGCGTATTTTTCTCGTGCTCTCGCTGATCGACGCTCGACTGCATGGTATACATATAGAATCATCGCGGTTTTCTTTCAACTTGATATTGATTTTCCTTCGTATGAGAGAGCTCGATATACGAACGGTATGTATCCAGCGATGGATTTCTCTCTCGAAATAATTAACGGCTGAAAGAGAGAGGAGGCGATATTTATGGCGGCTGGCGGCTCATTTTTTAATGTTTCAATTGATTTCGTGTTTATGGATCAACCGTGTACAGTGTGTCTTGAGAAGCACTTTTGATTAATGTGTAAACCTATCTCGTTCTTATTCGACGGCTCGCCGCGAGTAAAATAGAAAAAAGCGAGGGCTTATATATTGGACCCGTGTGCATAAATTGAACAGAATTGCCGTCAGCCTTGAAGTGTCCTTTACCCTTTATTTAAATCACTCTCGTGAAAGAGCGATTGTGGAGATGGCACACGGGCGCGCTACGGTCTTTGTAGACGTTCGTCCACTCCCCTCCGCGGCCGGCGTGCCCGCCCGGCCATCCTCGAACCCAGATTAATGATCCGGTCTGGAGGCTTAAGAGGGCCATTCGTTTCGAGAATAATCTCGACCGAAAAATGCGAAAAGATAATAACCGGTATACGCGATGGACCGTGTGTCTACCCCCGGTGTGTGTGACTGCACCGAACGCAGAACAGAAGTCGTTCTGGTCGTCCTTGGCGCGGGAATGAGAAATTAGGCTAACGGGTCGAAATAAGTCAGTCGAAAGCAGCCCCGCGCGAGACACGCCGTATTTCCGTCGACTCGAGTCATAATCTCGCGACGACTCGCCATGCCCCGTCTCGTTATACGCGACTCCCGTCCGGGTTCTCTCTCTCTCGAGGATGATCCACGAGGCGTATCCACGTTCACGAGACTTACCTCGGCCGCGAACTCGCCGAACTCGACACCCGTAAATTAGATTCCCGGAACTTCGTAAGGAACAATTGGGATACTCGGGTGAACGAGTATCGCGAGGTGAAAAGTTTGAACTTTTCTTTACTCAACTTGATAGAACTTGATAGAATATATTCCAAGTGAAATCGAAACTGAAATCATTTTTATTACAAATGCCAATTGCGTTTTTTTAATTGGTATACATAGAGTGTCTACTTGGAAAATCCTTAAGGAATTCTTAAGGAATTTGTTTATGTCTTGAAAAATTAGAGGATTTTCAAGAAATTTTGTTTAACAAAGATGAATATTTATTTTAATAGTTTTATAAAAGTTTAATTTTGTACCTATTATGCATTATGCATAATTTTTTGCTTCTAGCTTTTGAAAATAAAGTTTGAAAATTTTATGTAATATAAAATATTTATTTTTTAAAGTTCTTATAGTTTCTTTCAAAATTCTTCAAATTTAATTATTTGAAACTCGAGTAATTCTTAATTTTATTTATGATTTATAAACTTTATGAATGAAAAAAATATTAAAAACTTTGCACAATAAATATATATTTATTTGTAAGATACATTTTGTTCCATTTTATCTGGAATTTTAAACAAATTGTCTTAAAAAATCAAGGATTGATTAAGAGATTTCTTTTCGAATTTAACTAGACATCCTATATATATCAGTAATTATTTACTGTAGTAAGAATAATTTATGTAAGAGAAGATAAATGTCAGAGAGAGTTAATTTAATCCGTGAGTAAATTCGCGCGACATTGTAACATAATTGTACGCAAAAGACATTTATATGTCGAAAAACCATTTTTACGTTTAACAAGGCCGGAGATCATTTTTTTTGTACCACATTATACTTGTTTTAGCGATAATTTTCGAAAACGATTCTCGACGGCCTTGCGGCGATTAAGAGATTGCGGCTAACATTCCGTGAATAATCGACGCCGCGATGATTCCGCCATTGCATTTAGCAACGATACATCATCATCGGCCGACTATCAGCCGAAATTATGGCCGCCATTAATTTGCGACTCACGACTTTGTATCGCGCGCGTAGGGGTAGGCCCTAGGGAGGGAACGTAAGCCGCGAACAAGCCGACGATGGTCTTTTTTCTGCCGATCTGTAATTTGTTCTGTCATGAATCGTCGGGCGGCCCGGTGCCCGACCGCGGTCGTGGGAGATCCCGCGGAAGACCGATTGCTTTTGAAACAAAGCCTGCTCTTACCTGTCTTCGATGTGTACGTCCCGGCGAACGGGGCGCGCGAGTGAAACAGGCATTACGCCTCCATCCCGCGCACTCCGCGGAATTGAATCCGGGGAGAGCCGACTCCACTCCGTTCCGTGTCGCGGAGTTAAAAATAGTGGTTGCTGCAGCCTCCACCTCCCCCTCCCCCCTCCCCCTCCCTCCTCTTCTTACCTCCCCTCGACGGAACAACCGGCGTAATTGCCCTCCGGGATAAGAACCCCGTCGGCGGCAAATCAACGGGCCACGTAAATGAAGGAGCCGTATTCTTACGCTGCAGTCGGGTTTCTTATCTCGGACGGATTGTATCTCGTATCCCTTATCTGCCTTGCAGAAATTCCCGCAGAAATCGAAGCGCTCCCGCGGATACAGATAACGCTGCGCGGCGCGGCGACGGTGAGACATCGGCCAGATGACTTTCGCGGCCGATGAAATTAAAAATCGATCGTATCTTCCCCTCTCTTTCGTATGGCGTGTTGCACACGCACGCGGGCGCGGCGTGCGTGACTTTTGAAACGAGCCGTTTATCCTCGCGAAAATCGCCTCGGTAACGAGTAGCATTCCCGGGATGCTCTCTCGGCGTGGTTCTCGCCGGCCGTTCTTATTTTCGCCTTGCCGGCCGTGTGGCTAATTCGTTTAATTACACCGGCGTAAATCAGCCACTCTCCCCGACCGTAATCGGCCACAGCCATCGGATTCTCGAATTATTCGCGAGCCGGGCCGCTGATTCACCTTTTCTCCTCCGATACGAAAGTGAAATGGACTTTCGCAGAGCGGACGGGCGGGCGGGAGGGAGGACTATTAATGGCGTATCTCAGTATTATCGGGATCGGAAGATCCAATTTTCTGATCGCCCCGGGGATCCCGTCCTTGGAAGCCGACCGAACGGTCGCGTGAAATAATTGAAACGATTTATTCCGCGATTCGCGTAAAAGCCCGCGGAATCTAATCTCGCCGCTCGCTGGACGATCTGTTCCGCGCTGGTTCGCCGCGGCACGTCATTCATCGGATTTGCATAATTGCTTTCTGATGATACGGACGAAGGACTCGCGGAAACGCTCTTCCAACCGGGAGAACCGGCCTCCTCGATCAATTATCGATTATTACGGTCGCGCGAGGATTCCTTCCGCGGAACGTCATGGGGAATTACTATCGACGTGTATTTGTCATTACGCTCGCCCGTCGCTCAACCCGTCATCGCGCCGCCGTCATTTATCACGGTAATTTGAATTTGTAAACGCGCGCTAGCGGTTTCCTCGATCGTCGCTAGGCACTAAGCACCATTTCACGGTCTCCGACGCGATTGTACGGCGCACTGCTATTCACCGCAGTCATCGCTGCGCCTATTTGCCGCTTAATGACATCACGCGTGTTTCTGTCTCCATTCTGAACGAATTAAAATATGCGTATCACGAACAGATGCGAGTGTATGAAAGAAAATCTATTCCTTTTCAAGTGGCACTCGTTTAGATATTTAATAATTACACACAAAAAATTTGTTTTAAATCTAGCTTATATATGAGAATATTTGTCTTGATTGAAAACTAACGTTTTTTTCTCTGTGTATTTGAGATGTTATATAAAAATTTCTTTTTAACAATTACAATTATCCAGGCCTTTAGGAAATACGGAATTTCTAAGAAATTTCAAATTTAATCATTGTGATGATATAGAAATTCTTATTGTCAACGTACCTTCATTAATTAACCGCAAAATCA